TTCACATTTCCATCTAAATCTGTGTCTCTCAGTGTTAGTCTGAGCTTTATGGCTGCAGTCTGGACTAAATGTGGGTCAGTAAATGAAGCTGCAGGTCAGTCAGAGAAGAAAGGCTCTTAAACTGTAGCTACTTCGTTACCGCAGTGCGGGATTACATTGTAATCTAACAGCACTGCTGCCACCATCAGGTGAGAGGAAGAACTTCAGTGTACTGGCTGGCGGGTCTCTAATAACACACTCTAAAACAGAAGCCAGGGGCCGATTTGGCCCTGGGGCCAGACTTTGGACACCCCTGGTATTTTTTTATAGTTTTATTCAATTAAAAAATTACATTGAGTGAAAGAATCATTCATACGAGTGGATCAGACACAGCAGTGCTGCTGAAGTTTTTAAACACTGTGTCCACTCACTGTCCACTCTATTAGACACTCCTACCTTGTCAGTCCACCTTGTAGATGTGAAGTCAGAGACGATAGCTCATCTGCTGCTGCACAGTTTGTGTTGGTCATCCTCTAATCCTTCATCAGTGGTCACAGGACGCTGCCCACAGGACACTGTTGGCTGGATATTTTTGGTTGGTGGACTATTCTCAGTCCAGCAGTGACACTGAGGTGTTTAAAAACTCCAGCATCACTGCTGTGTCTGATCCACTCAGACCAGCACAACACACACTAACACACCACCACCACGTCAGTGTTACTGCAGTGCTGAGAATGATGCACCACCCAAATAGTACCTGCTCTGTGAGGGTCCATGGGGGTCCTGACCACTGAGAAACAGATGGACTACAGTCTGTAACTGTAGAACTACAAAGTGCACCTATATAGTAAGTGGAGCTGAGTAGGACAATGAGTAGAGATACACGGAGGTGGTCATAATGTTATGCCTGATTGGTGTATTTGCTCATGAAACATCCTCATAAGCTAAAGATGACGTTTGTAGAGCAACAAGATTCCCCTCCTTGTCAGTGTCAGTGAGCTCGGTGTTGTCCATATCACTGCACAAAGGTGTTTTAATGGAAACCGGAGCGATAATCTGACCATTGGGCAAAACCAATTATGAATCACTGTCATTCATCAGGATTCGTTTTAATTTATTTTGTCTTAACCGATTAATTTTGTCAATCGATTAATCGTGACGGCCGCAGTTACAACTACATAGAAAACCCTCAGTATAAGCAGACTGAGCCCATCACGGCTGCACTCTGCTGAAGGCTTATAAGGACCTCTAAATATTTTGGGCTCCACGTTGCAGAGTGACACTGAAACTAATGGCCGTGTTGTTCACCAGCGCGTGTATTCAAACGACAGCGGCGCAACGGCCAGAGCGCAAACCGCTGCTGGTCTGATGAGAAAGCCTCAGAGATCAATAGCTGTAGTTAACAAAGCCTCTGTCAAAACCTCCACCCTCGCCAAGGCCCGACTGCGCCTCCTCCTGCCTGAGCCATTCGTCTTTTCCCGTAACACGCTGTGTAATTCATCAGTTCTTCCTGGAAAACCTCCAGTCCCCAAGAATTTTCAGACAGACGCAGTAAACCCACTGAAATGCTCTGAATTTACCTGATTCAAATGTTTTAAGCACTGCATCGTCGTCTTAACATCGAGGCCACAGGTGCTTTCAAATTCAGTGTTCACAGTGAATACAACCAGCACTCCAATCCCAAACCTAACCAGGACTCCAATCCTGAATACAACCAGCACTCCAATCCTGAATACAACCAGCACTCCAATCCCAAACCTAACCAGGACTCCAATCCTGAATACAACCAGCACTCCAATCCTGAATACAACCAGCACTCCAATCCTGAATACAACCAGCACTCCAATCCTGAATACAACCAGCACTCCAATCCCAAACCTAACCAGCACTCCAATCCTGAATACAACCAGCACTCCAATCCCAAACCCAACCAGCACTCCAATCCCAAACCCAACCAGCACTCCAATCCTGAATACAACCAGCACTCCAATCCCAAACCCAACCAGCACTCCAATCCCAAACCCAACCAGCACTCCAATCCTGAATACAACCAGCACTCCAATCCCGAATACAACCAGCACTCCAATCCCAAACCCAACCAGCACTCCAATCCCAAACCTAACCAGCACTTCAATCCTGAATACAACCAGCACTCCAATCCCAAACCTAACCAGCACTCCAATCCTGAATACAACCAGCACTCCAATCCTGAATACAACCAGCACTCCAATCCCAAACCTAACCAGCACTCCAATCCTGAATACAACCAGCACTCCAATCCCAAACCTAACCAGCACTCCAATCCTGAATACAACCAGCACTCCAATCCTGAATACA